CGGCCAGGAGAGTGAGAACCTCACCCTCAATGCAAGCAGTAAACAGCCAATTGCTGCATTATCATTCGCATGCCAGAACTGCCTGGGACAATGGCCAAACAGCGCGAATTCGATTCTTGTTGACGGAACTGCGCCTGACCCTATAAACAGCCCTGCGATCAAGTCACTGTTCCATTGCCTGCTCTCCAATCAAGACCAGGCCGTCAAAGTGAATCTCGATGTCGATTCCACCTCCACGCTCATCAGTGTGTTTCTCAGACAAGCCAGCTCGCGCTTCTCGACGTGTCAGCGTTCGAGCAGCCAGTCAGACTGGCTTGAACCGCCAGAGATGGCTATTCACACGCCTCCGCGCGGGGAGACGGAGCATTGCACCAAGGATTGAAAGACACCTGAAATCGAAGAATTGCGCCGCGATCGAAAGCCGCTACCACCCCTGCTACACACGCTCACGCGGATGAATCTGGCCACCACGGGCCACGGTTGAGGAACGCACCTCGTCCATAGGTAGTTGTCCCAAAGCACGGTGCGGGTGAGACAACAGACCGCGACCTAGGACGACGTAATAATTCCGTTGACGTCTCCGTTCACCTCGCAAATGTCCATCTGCACATTATGGAACAACCCTAGTGGTTATACGAATACCGGAAGGAAACGTCCACATAAACGACATGGCAATGTTTCGATGATCGATCAACCAGAAGTCGATCCAGGACGAGAAGCCGTTTCGTCACGGCCGTGGGCGCCAGAACACAGAGACCTTCGATCTACGATCCATTAGACCCAGAGCAAAGGCCATCAGGGGGGATCAGCATGGTGCCGGTGCGATGCGTCTTGCTGGTAGACAGATACGACAGACATATCACCGAATTTGCAGAAGAATCGCATTTTCGCAATGCGATTACTGATGACACAACATGCCGTGTAACTCTGAACCGACACAAGGGGCAACTTCGCCGTCGGCTGACCTAGCAAGCAACTGAATTGTCTCCCGTTTAACCGAAATGTCGTTATGTGGCGGAGGGGTAAACGACGAAAGCCATCGTCAGTCTGGAGATTGTGCATTCGGCTCGATATGGCATTTAGGTGACGGGTGGCAAAGTGAGGCTGAGAGCACATGTGCCTTCACTTCTGGGTTGTTACCGGCTCCACCGTCCATTAAGAGCGTTCTGGAACTCGGACCATCTGAATGAAGCTGGACAAACCGACGGCGAGCAGGATTGGCACGGCATCTAGGCGCATGCAGACAGACCCTTTTGACGGGGCACTGGAACGAGAGAAATGCATCAAACAATGCTTTGCGAGAGCTGGTCAGCACGGATTAGGATCATGGACCGGTCCAGCGTCGCCAGACTGAACCCGCCCATGGTGCCAGCACGATCTAGGCCATTCCGCACCCCGTTAGTAGCACGCTGCAGCACCAAATACGCGAAAACGCGCCAGACCATCAGAAAACAACACCCATGGCCACATTCAAGCTTGTCGACGACGGAGCATTGACTGGATCGACGTGGTCCGTGTTGCGATGTTGAAAGGTGATAGAAGCTGGTAAATTGAGGGTTCTGAAATAGCAGCACGAAGTACGGACTCAACGGAGTACGGATATCTTGTTTCAATATGCTAATACCCATGGCCAGCACTCGCACCGGCACGAATAATTATCTCACCTCTTCAAATTTCCATACCGAGAACACGACATGGCCATGGGCTCCCGCTGCGGAGGGCGTTGATCTATCCGTGTGCTCCAATGGACGACGGAGGGTTTCGCCGTGGAACGTGCTACCTACATGCCTAATGGCAGTGTTACAGAGCATCGACGCGCTAGTCACCTCCCGACCCAACCTTCGATGTCCCGCCGTGACGTAGATTTGATGCAGCACGAGGTTTGCGGAACCGACAACCTCGGACCAACTGGATCTTGTTGGATCCCTTCTACGTCGCCGAATGACGATAAGTTGCAACAAACTGTAAGGAGCTCATGGGCCAAAGTTTCATCGAAGATACGAATCTGAAGATTAGCGGGCAGCAAATGGGCTGACAGTAGCCACCGGCTGGTCTAGACACCGAGAGAACGGATACTGTGGGCGTGAGAGACTGGGAAGAGGTAGGAGAAGACAAGACAGTCTTGCGCGCGAAGGGGAAGGGAATCGTCGATGTTTGTGCATGGCCTGCAGGTCTGGTTGAGGAATATCGTCAATGGGCATTCGAGCATACGATCGCAGACGGCACATACGATCACCATGGGAAGCAAAGGCGACAGGGCTGATGCTGTTCTTGCGCGGGCATGCCCAGACACTGGGCTGCTGGCACGCTGGTTGGCGAGAGGGTCTAGACTTCTACTAGGTACAAGTGTATCTGTACAAGACTGTCCATACAAGCGTAACGTAGGCACAGGCGCACAAAAGCATGACTTTGCAGTGAGCGAGCAAAGCAAGGAACGAGACGGGACTGGATTTGGCTGAACTCATCCAGGGCGGAACCGTAAGTTACGGAGGAGGGCACATGGATGGACAGAGGGATGGGATCATTTGAGGGTTGTGATGATGGGTGTGCGAACAAGGTTCCATTGACTGCGACACGGTGAATTCCAACATCTCGATCGCGAACGCCCATTTCCCAGTCATCGAGATTGAGCAAAATGCCACCAAGAGTGAGAGAGATTGGACCGCCGCCAGTGCGTCAGAAAGCACTGGGTTTGAGTATTTGGGATCCGATGTCATTGTTTTTTTTTACTGATCAGACACTGCAAAAGTCCGATCGGGATGGGATGGGGTTTTGGTTGGCATCTGGAAGTGTGCGGCGCCATCGAAAAAAAGAAAAAGAAAGAAGGAACACCCGGAAAAGCTAGTTGGGGGTTCTTTCCCAGCGCAGCGAGTGCCTGTAGGGGGTTTAGGAAGGGAATGTTGACAGTTTCCGGTGCGGTCCACCGCGCCCAAGTGGGGTTAGCGCCAGGACACTTCCTGCGAAGTAGACGGTACCTCGAGACCTTTGACTGTACAGCCACCTGCCGCATTCCATAAGGTGACGTGAGGTACCTACATCAGGTACAAATACTCGGGTAGCTTTGTGAAGACAACAGACTCAGTGCTGTACTTGCAACGGGGGAACCCAAGCTATGGCTCAGCAACCCATCCTTTCTTCACTCGCCCTACTTGCCCCATGGTTATCTAATGCTATCGTAGTAGGGACGGAAAGTAAGGTAGAGGGATGACCTCACTTTCCCCAGTCATGTCTACGAAGAAGAAACAACAACAATAACTCACGGGCGAGCTGTCAACCATCGAACCCGCCTTTCACGTCCGTCTACTGAATATCGCAGGAGAGCCGGAATTGAATTCCATCTACCGTAACAACATTGCAAATGGACGTCAAGATCCTCTCTGACTCACACGGGCCTCGAACAATATGTCTGTTCAAGGCCTGTCCGTGCCTTCCTACCTGCCTCCCATCGCAAGGTACCATCCCATTCGAAAGTGAAGCAAACCATGGCAGCCACAAGCACAAGTCTGGAAGAATTTCCCGCTACCAGCTGCCCAGTTCAATATAACACGACCCTCTGGCTTTCTGGCTGCATCGGCCCTGCTTTGATTCTGCAGTGGTAACCTGTCGGCAGGTTTCCAGGTTTTGCGTATGGAGGACGTTAGGAGGGGGGCAGCTTGCAGGCAACAGCACGCTTCGGATCAAATCAATCAACCTGGTTCCCGAAGCTTAGCTTGGCAACGATACTTTCTTGCCAACGGTGCGGCGGTGCACCCCCCAATATTGAGTGGGCCACGGGTGGGATGAATCTGCATTCTGTAATGGAATCGGAATCAAAAGTCGACTTCCCATCATCACGAGGACGGAAATGGTATTCCCGGCTCAAGATCAAGGCACCGACAGTCATATTGACCATATTCGATTTGGGGACAATCAGGCCGAAATTCCCGCGATAGTTTGACAACCCTTGCACTATTATTTCGCACCTGTGGCCCAGGTAGTACTGTTGTAGTAACAACGCATCCGAAGATGCACGGGTCATTGCGATGTAGACATGATCGTGATACCACATTGCGACGCTACTTACTCGTTTCCCATACACTGGGCAACCTCGTCGCTGTGGTTAGCAAAAGATGAGGCTGAACAGCGATGTTCAAGTCCACGAAGAGCCATCCAGCAAAAGTATTAGTGCCCAGAGGCGGATTCGAACCGCCGTCAACACGGATCGCTGTATAGAAGAACCACAACGTATCATCCTAACCAACTAGACGATCTGGGCCACCGGGTGACGTTGTGATTCGTAGAGAAATCAATGTTTAACAAGCGCGGCGTGAAGAGACGGTGAGTTTCTCTAGTTGTCGTAGGCCCGTAACGGTCGTGATTAGGTAAGCCTTGGGCACCGTGCGTCTTCCCCAGGTGAGTGTGAGGGGTTCGAGTGACCGCGTGTTTCTGCCGCCTATCGACGACACGCCGTTGAATCTACGGACGTCTCGAGACCCTACACTACAAAATCCCATACATCCATCCCAGGAACAGTCAATATCATCTATCCCCTGACACACGACACCGAACTATCGCCTTTCATTCGGCATTACCGAATTCCGGGTCATCTGGTACGCTGAGCCACCCAGAGAAGAACTGGTCCCCCAGGCAGGGAATCCACGCACGCTTGTCGCCCTACCTTGGCCAGAGCAAATCACTAACAAAGCTACAACAAAAGTATTACCAAGTATTCAACAGCGTATCGACGACTCGTCAACGGCAAAACATCACGAGAAGGCGGCGCAAAAAAAGACGCCTAGGATCCGCATTTCCCACCATTACGACACGTATACCAGGGTACGGGAACGGGCAATCCACGATATCGACAAAGGGTTGGATCGGTGGAGGATTAAGAAAAGAGGGCGACCCCTCCCATTAAGACCCCCAAATCAGGCCACTATCTTCTCCCCTTTTGTTTTTTCCAGGGCAGCTTTTTATTTTCTCACCCTTTTGATTCGCCCGCTCATCACCATCTTCCGAACATGGCCCCAACGTCCAAGGCGCCCGAGTCCGCCTCCCCGACAACGACCGGGCCCGATGGCGACTCGTCTGTGGATAACATTGCCCAGGTACGTGTGTGTTGTTAATGTTATCCCGTTGCCTACAATTCTGCAAGGCGGTTTGGTCTTGTCTTGGGACCCCGACACAGCAAGGGGCCTGGGGACACCTGAGCGGATCGCGCTGAAAGGCGCAGAGCCTTAGGCTTAACCGCGGTCCCAAAGGTGGTTTTTTGCCCGTCTTTCTCTGCCTCGGTTTACCATCTCCCCTGCGTTTCCCATCCTTCCCTTCTCCGTCTCTCTCTTTCGCAATCTCTCGTTCCGCCCCTAGATGCCTCACTCCGTCTCTCCTCCCCCAGTCACCTCGCTGAGTACTGCACCATCCGCCTTTGGCAAGCCCGTTGTCAGCTCCGCTGTCCTCCGCTCGTACATACGGAGCGGCTGGGAACTTGCCTGGTGGTGCACGCTGTAACTTGCTGCAGAGGAGAGGAGAGGAGGAGGGCATGGTGAGGGCAGAAGGGGGTGGCATCGGATGGGAAAACCCCCCTACCTAGACTGTTCCAGGGCTGACCACGTTCGGGGCACGTTCTAGGCCTACAAGGACCTGCTAAGGTACGCTCATTTGACGAGTATTTTTCCTTCCTGTTACTCTGCCCCCCCACTCTCGTCGTCTGCGAGCTCGAGTGTCAGCACCTCTTGTCCTCGCGCCCATGGTGTGAGGGAATGAGACGCCCCTCTCCCTGCTTCACTCACCACAATGTTGAGAATGGCATGTTTGCACCCTGAACGAGTCGGAGCTGCCTCCGAAGCTGCAACCCCCGAGGGAGAGCGTATCGCGTCGGATACCTACAATACGGTACTCAGCAGTCTGGCCCAGCTTTTCCCACGGATCCTGGTGTGGCACAACAGCGGCCGCGGCGCCTGTGCTCACATTCATTCGTTCGTGGGCAAGACATCACCAAACCTTTCCACCCGGTGCAAATTCCCCTTTTTTGCGAATGGCGTTCTCAGCCTTGGACTCTTCTTGAATTGGCGTCGGATTTTGCTCGATCCGGCATAGACTCGAAATCTAGCCAGAGATTTCTTTTCCCCGGCTCATAACCGCCGGCATTCTTACATTTTCGGCTCTGCGGGTTCCTGTTCTAGCGAAGAGGGCCATCCACGACCTAGCATTCCTCTGGTCGCTTTGCCCGCGATAACCTCTATGGAGGATGTCGCATTGAAGCGAGACACGCGATTTTATCGCTCGATCTGAGGCAGGGTGCTGGACGGGTTGTGGTCCGGCACTCTCCCATTCGCTATTCCAAAAACCCATGTGCGACGATGGCTTTCGGTTACCGCTTCCGCAGAAAGCCCATATCGTTGAAGTTCTAGACCCTCCCTTTGGCCTAGACTATCCGCTGGCACCGCGAGCCTAGAGACGAATACGGCCTTGAGCATCTTTCACCTCCAAGCCTAACGCCCACATCCAGTCTCAGCCCATGAGCACTTCGCGACGCCCGGGACCGTTGTCAGATCACGCCCAAATACTATCTGCATCGCCAGACTTTAGGGGCTACTGCACTTCCCCTTGCTCCCCGCCGGGGTCTAGCCAAGCGGCAGGACCGAGAAGACGAATTCCCATGTTTCGTTACCCATTGAAATACGCCCTCGTGACCGCTGTCATACACGCCATTCTTTTGGGGAGAATTTGGGCTAACCGCAAATCGCATACAGAGGCGAGCAGGCGGCCAGCGCACTCGAGGCCAACTTGACGAACCTCGAGGGTCGACTTGATGCACTGCTAGCCGCGTTCGAATCGACTCAAGAGCCCAACGAGGACGGCACTGTGGCACCACCGCCCGGCCACGATGCGAAGAAGCCGGACGACACGGTCCTCGCCAAAACCCCCAACTGCGGAACCCAGAGCTCCGAGTCCAAGTCTCCCGAAGCGGCGAAGAAAGCCTAGATCCAGATCTACCTTTTTGACGATGCGGCGCCGCCGCCGTCGCCGGCTATTAGGCACTGGTCTGTGGCTGGGTACACACACATTCGACGGCCGCATCGTGAAAGGGTCAGTCAGCATTTAGTTGCGGTGTCACGAACTCACGGTGCCACGATGTTCTGGACCCGGGACCCATCCCTATTGCATTTGCATTGCATCGTATTCTTTGCCCTTTGCGGTTCCGCATGGAAGCGAATTCTGGGGTTTGCGACAAGACCAAAAGGTGGCGAAGAATGGGCGCCTGCATGCCCCAGGCACGACGATCCATGCTAGGGATCAGGGTTGCCCTCAACACGTGTATTAGCGGATTTTTCCCTCTTGCCCCCGACCTTGACCTATCATATACATTCTCACCGACCGCATCCCGTCGTATATCGCAATGCCCCCATTGATGTATCCGCGCACACGTGGTGACTTTTTTCTCTTTTTCTCTCGGGCTTCACATAGGAGAGGGAGAGGAAGGTACATGGCATGAACGTCCTTCTTCTTTCTCACAGTACGAATAGGGGATGGGAAGTTATCGAGATTGGGGCAAACCGGGGGGAGGCGAAGGCGAAACTGCGCGCAGCATTGCCGGATTTAGACGGCTTTTGCCACTCGCTTATTGCTATCTACATGTCCTAGGAACCACTCAACTTTTCTCTCCTTTTTCATCCTTTGAAGAGGGTCTAGAACTTGGTGATGCATGGATTAAAATGTGATTGAAATGTTTTTAATGTTGTGTCGGTGTGCGTACGGATATAGTGTGGTAGTGCGGTAGTGTGTGTGTGATTGTCTAGACAGGAGCATAACCTCCTCCCTCACCTCCTTGCTTCCCTTGCACCCCCCGTCCCCGTATGCGTCTCACTCAAAGGGCCAGAAGGGACTCGGCCGACATGTATGGACGGACGTTCGAAGCCCCCTTCCGCGCGGAGGAAACCCCCCTCGCAATTCGCAGGGTTATCCGAACGGCGGGGGGGGGGGGGGGGGACTCCAACGGCCGTTCCTGACACGCAGATCATCGGTCAACGAATGAGAAGTGGGAGACGTGAACCCGATTTGGGGGTGAATCGACAATGGACTCCCGATTAAAACGGTGTATAGTCCCAGCCTCCGGATCAAACGCTCCGTTTTTATTGTTGTTGTTTATGGTGAGATCGTGATGGAGGTGAGAGAGAGAGAGCCCGGCTAGCAGAGTGACGACGGGTTTTGGGCTGGCACGGCTGGAGACGGTCTGTATGTAGATTCTTAGATGTGGCGGCGGCTCTAACTTGTGCTGGTGTACCCATGCATATGTATTCGTATGTGTGTATTTTGGGTGCCCATTACCGTTCCCCCGGCCCAATCGGGTGTGATAAGTGACATTGGGTATCAAGTTATGTTGCGGGTGGGTTTGCTTTCCTGATGTGCTTGTTTACTTTTCCTCCCCGTTGAGGAGGCTACTGGCTCCCTTTTGCCCCCTTGATGATGGTAATGGAACAGTTTTTGATAGCTCTCGGCCGTAAATATATCATTGTACAGAAACAAGGATGTGAAGTGTAAAATTGGGTTGTCTGGGTAGAGAGACTAGAAGTGTTACAAGCCTTCCCCATGCTTTTCGTCTTCAATAGCGTTCGTTACGTTGTAGATTTAACCGTTTACCATACAAGGGGCTCTATACTCGCGGATATTCTCGCAGCGGCGTCGAAATAAGGGTAGTGATGATAGCGGAGACGTCCATGGATCATCATGGATTGGGCGGTAAACGGCGGTAACGTTGATTGAGGGGGGGGGGGGGTAAGAGAAGGAAGGGAAAAACCTAGTCAGCCTCGTTGAAGAACGATTGTTGACACCATCTACCGGCCCTGCAAAGAGATTTTTTTCCCCCTTGTCTCATAATGCTGATGTCAATCTTGCATTCAAACGTCTTTTGCGGAGTGTGTTCATGTCACATCGTCCTGTTGGTAAAACTTTCAACGAAATTCGAGGCAGAAATTTTGCTCATAGTTGTTTGCAAGGAGTTCCCTTTGACATTCGAGCCTTCTATCTTAGGTAGGCACACTGCGCGCAAGACATGAGATATAGAATGATGTGGAAAAGAAATACAATGACTTGGCCACGTGGAAAGTTTATCAGGGCCGAGATGGCTTCTCAAGAGTGGGAAGAACGTAAGAGATAGTCTTAGGGGGGATCGTACAAGAGGGCAAGTTAGATAACCCAAGATGTCATGATACCCCATCAAGAACAGAACAAACAGCCAGCTGCATATCTCCTTGAAGAAGAAATCATCACGTAGCCGTCTCACAAACTTCGAGTGTCACAGAGGGGAGCAATACAAGTCTGGGTATCCAGCCCGACCAAGTCGATCGGGCCTCTTTAATATCAAACGATGTAAAGTCTTCTGTCCCAACCCTATACCCAATAGACGCCCTTGTTGCTAGTACCTTGATCTCATTGATGATGGAAATTCCCAGATCCACCTCTCTTTGGCCCTGGCTATTGACCTTCTATGCTTATTCCCAAGGAGACCAATGTCGTGGCCAGAGTCATCGACCTCGACTACTGACGCCCCCAAGAAGAAGAAAGCACAAAGCTTAGCCGTCTCATGTACTGGCTGTGTGGTAGGTGTGTTTCTCCTTGTCAAGCCTGAGCAGTAAATGTAAAACTACAATGGGAAGGTTAACAAACGGTAGAGAAGGGCGACAGCGTTGACACCCTGCACTTTGCCCCTTTGCCCCTTTGATGATAATGAAAAAAGTCAAAAACGAAAACTCCCCAACGGCCTTCAGAGCCCAAATGTTGCCCTGCCTGGCCCTTCTGTATGCAAAGCCCATCTTGGAAATTCCTCCCGTGAACCAACCCACAAGCCTAGCTGCTCTCTCTATGTGGGCGAAAATTGCTGCACACGAACCCACTATGTGAAATCTCGAAAGCTGCTTTGCTCTTCTATGTTGAGAAGCTTTCAGCCACTAAAAGGGGGCGAGCGGGCTGTATCGTATGTGATTTGGTGTACGTGTAAGAGTGTCGAGTGAAAGGTAGGATGGGGAAGCGACGATGTGCGTGTTGTATCCATCAATGATCTTGTATCTCTTGGGGTATTTCATCGAAAACGATGTCAGTCGAATGTGGTTCACTCGGGGTTCCACTTGCGTTTTTTCTGAGCCTGTCCCTGCACATCCCAGTTAGGAACTATGTGACCTCAGTAGTAGCTGCGCGCACGAACAAGAAACCAAGTTAGCTTGTAAGGCTGCGCGAGTCGGAAAGGCCTTTACGTGCCCTAGAGATGGGGTCTTCCTGGTCTGCCGTTGCCACTGCTGGGCTGGCTGGACTGGGTCCCATGATTGGTTCCTTTGAAGTGAAGGATCGGGTCTCCAGAGGCGGGCGAAGATGAGACTGAGGATGCTCGTTGGAGCTTGCCTTGACTCTCGACTGCTGAGCCATATCCCTCTCCCGATTCTTCTCCAGGAGCTGACCGCCGAGGGTCGCACACTTGAGGATGGTCTGGATCAGGTGGTTCTGCTGCAGAGGCTTCGACAAGTACTCGTCCATCTGTGCCTGGATGCATTTCTCGCGATCACCCATCATGGCGTGGGCCGTCAAAGCAATAATGGGAGTACGATGCGAGCCCAGGCTGCGCTCGTACTCACGAATCTTGCCTGTTGCCTCAAAACCGCCCTGTTGGGAGTGAGATTAGCTTGCTATCAAAGATGGTCAAGTAGTAACAGAAATGCCGGGACTCACCATGATTGGCATCTGAACATCCATGAGAATAACGTCAAACTTCTTCGCCTTGATGGCCTCAACAGCCTCGAGACCGTTGCCAACAACTGTAACCACGTGGTGGTACTTTTCGAGAATCTTAACAGCAAGTCTCTGGTTGACCCGGTTGTCTTCCGCGAGAAGAATCTCGAACGATTTGGTGTTGTCGGCCAGAGACGGCGTCGCGCGGTTCTCGAGAGCAGGAATCATGCCGTTGCCGAGATCCACAGCAGTGCAGGGTGTCGTCATGTATGATGTGATACCCAAGTCCAGGCATGACTTGAGGTTCACGTGAACGACAGGCGCCAGAAGAACGATGGGTAGGTACTTGAAGTCGTCCACGGATCTCAGCCTCCTGGCGGTATCGATGGAGTCGACAATAATGACATCGTACGGCATCGCCTGAGCGTCGCGAACGCTGGTGAGGATGGGGTTCTTCTCCGACTCGACAACAACGGGCTTGAGGCCAATCAAAGACAGCATTGTCTCGATCTGCTCTCCGTAGCCAGATTGCGACTTGTCGACAAAGAGAACCTCGTGACCCTTGTACGGCTTGATTTGCTTCTCGATGATCTCGACGCCGAGATCCGACAAGCGCACTCGACACGTAAAGTGGAACTCACTGCCTTGACCATGTTGGCTCTTAACCCACAAGTCGCCGCCCATGAGCTTAACAAGGCGCTTCGAGATTGACAGTCCGAGACCGGTTCCGCCAAACTTTCTTGTCATTGAGCCGTCGGCCTGTTGGAAAGTGTCGAAAATGAGATCAAGCTTATCCGCGGCAATGCCAATACCTGTGTCCGTAACGATGAATTCGATAGCGTACTGGTCAGGACCGCATGCCCAAACAACAGGATCGGCCTTCTTAATAGTCAGACTGACTTCGCCGTGTTCCGTGAATTTGATGGCGTTTCCGACCAGGTTCAGAATAATCTGCCTAAGACGGAATGAATCTCCAATGACGTGATCCGGCACGGAGCTGTCGACACGGTAGGTGAGGTCGAGGAACTTCTCGTTTGCCTTGACTGCCAGTGTTTTGAGAGCATTGAATACCGTTCCTCGCAAAGTGTACGGGATCTCTTCTATAACCATCCTGCGTGCTTCGATCTTGGACAAATCTAGAATGTCGTCAATGATGGTGAGTAGACTGTTCGCCAGACTGTTAACAATATTCAACATCTCTCGCTGATATTGTGTCAAGTCCGTGTCCAGCGTTAGCTGCGTCATGCCGATAATACCGTTCATGG